CCAGAGGCCAATAGCCCTTCCGCTGGACCCGAATGTGAAAACGCAGGACTTTGGCAGGCCCTTCCACCCAAACCTGCATCCCTGCTCCACGGCTGAGAGCAGGGGAGCTGCAGTGCTCACAGTGGGTACAGGAGGTACTGTTAGGAAGTAGGAAACCTTCCACTAGGGCCACCTACTTGGCTAAGTGGAAGCATTTCTCTATCTGTGCTATCCAGAAAGGGGTATCACCTATGGATGCCCAAGTCCTGCTGGTCGTGGACTACTTACTGGACCTCAGGGTCCAAGGAATATCCTCCTCATCAATTAAGGTGCACCTAGCGGCCATCTCAGCCTTCCACCTGGGTTCATGGGACAAGACACTCTTCACAGAACCAATGGTCCATCAGTTCCTGAAGGGATTGGACAAACTTTATCCTCATGTCCATCAACCCATCCCTCAGTGGGACCTTAACCTGATTCTGATCAAACTCATGGGCCCTCCCTTTGAACCTTTAGCGACACGTTCATTGTCATACCTTTCCAGCAAGGTGTCTTTCCTGGTAGCCATCATGTTGGCCAGATGTGTATCCAAACGGAGGCCCTGCCCTTATACAGTTTTCTTTAAGAATAAGCTTCAGAGGGGTAACTGAGTTAGTGTGTAACAGGAAAAACAAACTTCTTCTAACACTCCTGTCATCTGAAGAAGTGGGTTGTGCCCACAAAAGCTCATGATATCATCTACATATTTTGTTAGTCTTTAAGGGGCTATTAGTCTATTTGTTGTTTTTAAAGTTTTTTAAGGTTAAGGTCATGTAACCCCCCTCACCCAGCTTTTCTTTCAACAATGGTGTCTTGTTTCTGTGTCTCCCAGGATATTTTGCTCACAGTTTTTTTACCCCAAATTCCATGCTTCTGGTAAAGAACATGTGTTACACACTCTAGATGTTAGGCGAGCTTTAGCACTTTATTGAAATAGGACAAAGCCCTTCCGTAAGTCCCCTCAGCTGTTTGTAGCAATCACGCTACAGTTGATGGGGCAGCTTGTCTCCTCGCAGAGGATCTCTTTGTGGATCACGTCCTGTATCAAGGAGTGTTATGAGCTGGCTGGGGTGCCAGCTCCTCCCATCACAGCTCACACTACTAGGGCCCAGGCCTCTTTTTTGGCCTTTGGCTCAGGTCCCTATTCTGGCCATTTGTAAGGCTGCCACGTGATATTTCTAGATTTGATTTTAAAAAATAGGGATGAACTGGTTGAGAATTTGAAAGTGGAAGGCAGCTTGGGTGAAAGTGATCATGAAATCATCGAGTTCGTGATTCTAAGGTATGGTAGAAAGGAGAAAAGCAAATCAGAGACAATGGATTTCAGGAAGGCAGATTTTGGTAAGCTCTGAGAGCTGGTAGGTAAGGTCCCATGGGAGGCAAGTCTGAGGGGAAAAACAACTGAAGAGAGTTGACAGTTTTTCAAAGGGCCATTATTAAGGGCCCAAAAGCAAGCTACAGGCAGTCCCCGACTTACGCGGATCCGACTTATGTCGGATCCGCAGTTACGAACGGGGCTTTTCTCGCCCCGGAGGACACGGACTGCGGGACCTTGGGTCCCCCCGCCCGTGTACTCCGGGGCAAGAAAAGCTGCTTCGCGTCTCCCTGGTCTGCAGACCAGGAAGACGCAGAGCAAAGCCACGGAGGGGCTCGGGCAGCCCAGGCGCGCCTGGGCTGTCCCACCGCCGG